CTGAGCACAGAGTGACACAAATCCTCCAGCAGCCTGTTTCCCAGTGAATTCACAACAAAACTTGGGCAAAGCCATGCTWGGAAAAAGGCTGTGGATGAGCTGGGCAGAGCTGAGAGGAGCTGAATTAAAGCCGGGCACGCGCTGCGCTGTGCAAACGGCAGCCGGCGTGTGCGAAGGCTGTTAAAACCTCGGGATTTAATGAGACAAGCCTGACAATCGGGAAAGGTCAATATTGCTGTGAAACGCCGGCACAGGCACAGGGGGCCTTGTCAGCAGYGTGTAAGCAGGGGATTTGGAAAATCCCATCCTCCCCGGAGCTGCCTGCCACGGGGTTTGGTTGGCTGGGAAATGTTTACCGGGACGCGGCGTTAACCCGGCTGTGAGGGGATGGTGGGGAGAGCTGAACTGTGCTTGGGATGGGATGGGATTTATGGGATGGGATTTATGGGATGGGATGGGACTGTCCTGAACAGCCCTGCACAGCCAAAACACTGGTGCTTCCTCACCCCAGCACAGCATTTCAGGCACTGTGGTCATTCATATCCCAATTCTCTGGTGTACCCCATCCGAATTCCCTGGGGTATTCTATCCCTATTCCCTGGTGTACCTCATCCCCATTCCCTGGTGTTTTTCCATCCCAATTCCCTGGGGTATTCTATCCCAGTTCTCTGGTGTACCCATCCTCATTCCCTCGTGTTTATCCATTCCCATTCCCTGGTATTGTTCCATCCCCATTTATTGGGGTTTTTCCATTCCCTGCTGCATTCCGTCCCCATTCCCTGGTGTTTTTCCATCTAAATTCCCTGGGGTATTCTATCCCCATTCCCTGGTGTACCCCTTTCCCATTCCCTGGGGTATTCTATCCCCCATTCCCTGGTGTTTTTCCATCCCCATTCCCCAGAATGTTGTCCCATCCCCATTTCTTGGTGTCTTTCCACCCCCATTCCCGAGGTACTCCATCCCCATTCCCTGCTGTATCCCATCCCTAGTTCCAGAGGCCACGATTGTAATTCTGTTGCTCCTGTGCCCACGGTAGAATATTCCTTCTGTGATTTTCTCCTTCATGGAGGAGTTTTGTGGGGCTGCCAAAAAATTCTGTCTGGGGTGAGGTATCAGCAGAGGATTTTTGTCACAATTCCTGTAGCCCTGAGGCTTTCAGACCCTCCACCTGCTCAGACAGCGCTGCTGCCCCAGGGGAGCCGCTGGTGTTGCTGCCTCTTGTTTGAGTGCTGGTCAAAGCTCAGAGTAATTGAGTTCAGGGTTTTTCTTGGGATAATCTCCCTTCAAATCCTCACAGGGGTTCCGTGCTGTGCTGGTGAGCTCMGGGAGAAACTCAGCCCTTCCCCCTGCTTTTGGGATGAGCATTGGTGGGGTGGGCAGGAGGGCAGCCCTGAGTGCAGTTGGGTGGGACTGGGACTGATGTTGTCACCATGTCACCTCCTGCCAGGGCTGCCCACGCTCCAGGGCCCTTCCAGACCAGGCAAGGCAGCAAAATCTTGYCTGGAGCTGCAGATCTGTGCTCCCCATCCTGCTGAAAGCCTTGTGGAAGGAAAACCCTTGCACTGGGACTTGGGACTGGTCTTTGGCAAGGGGAGGAGGAAAGGAGAGCAGGGCTGGGCTCTCCCTTATGGGGTGCCTGTCAGTTGGGTGAACCCTCACTGGCTGCCTGGGGGTCTCTGCACCCAATTTTAGCAGGGTGTGGGTGTTTCCTGAGCAATCCCATGATGACCCCCTTCTCCACAGGCCATCGAGGAGCTGTTCCAGGCGCTGGATCTGGAGAAGAAGAGTGTTGCTGTGGGGCGCACACAGGTACGATGGCTGGGCCCTGCACCCCCTTGGCACAATCAGCCCCATGCCAGGCTCCCAAAAGTTCCCCAAACTGGGCAGAAAACCTCCCTTCAACACTGCCAGGTGGGCTGGGAAAGAGCCTCACTAAAAATCAGAGCGAAAAGCTCCTAATTCCCATTTGAAAGCAGCACCCAGGGTGAATCCTGCACCTAATTACCAAACCCCAGCCGGCCSCCGGTGGTATTTAAGTTTCTAATTACTGCTGATGTCTCCTGGAGGGGAAGGGGATTTGGGCAGGTCGTGGGTTTGCTGCAGAGTGGGAAACTGTCACAGCAACAACATTTGAACTTCAACACGACAGTCTCAAAGAAAAAATTAATTTCACGTGCGCGCTCGCCTTCAGCTCTGGAGTCCGTGAAGAAAGAATTCACGGAACGGTTCTGTGGAGCAAAATGACTTTCTTTTATCCTGCACCGTGCAGATTGTAATTATCTCCTCTATGGAGCCCTCGTCCTTAATCAATAGCACGGTGGCAGCCCCGGTCACATCTCGTTAGGGACGAGTTGGCTCTGAGCATTGATTTTGTAGCGGCTGTGAGACTGCGGGGCTGGGGAGTTAATTCAGACRTTAATGAGGCAATCGGGTGGGTGGTGGAGCAATCACGGCACCAKCTCGGCAGAGCTGCTGTTCCTCGGGATTGTGCTTTGATTCAATTTGGCATCGTTAAAAACGTGGCTCTCTCAGCACAGCCCCAGCCTCGCCCGTGTYGCTCAGGGGTTGGTAAAGTTTGGCCGTGCAAATGGTGACCCATGGTCTGGAGTGTCCAGTCCTGGATTCTGAGAGATTTTCGGAGACCCCTCGAGCACTCAGRGATCGATACTGGCCTGTAATGGGTGGCATCAGCAAAGCTGTGTCATTCCTGAGGTGTTTCTGAGCAGTTCAGAGAGACAAAACAATGTGCTTCACTTTGGTTTTGGTGTTGAAACACGTCATTGCTGTCACCTGTGTGTCACC